TGGCAGGCCTTAGGGTCCGTGTGGCAACTACTCCATGTGGCTTATGCAGCCCAGAGCAGCCATAAACAATATGTAAACAAATGAGTATGCCTGTGTCTCGATTTTTTTTATCTTATTTTTCATTAAAAACAGACCACAGGATACCACCCTAATCTATAATACAGCAAGTATGGCAATCAAGCTTTTATATTATGTATCGATTAGAAAAGATCCTGTATTTGAACTAAGGTATACAGAAAACATCATAGATTGAGGGGGGGGGGGGGGGAAGGAACAGCTTTTTTCTCCCCTCCAAGAAAAACTCTATGCACACACACCACTTTTTCTCACTGCTCAAATCTGACCTAAAATTCAGAAGATAGAAATAGAGCAATGAACAGGCAGAGGAAGACTTAACCTGGGGATATTTTAGAAAGCACTGGAACACCGATAAAACTGACTCACCTGGGAGAAGGGAAAGAAGCCCTCAAAGTGCGTGCAAAGCCTCCCTTTGAAAAGACCCAAAGGGATACTTTTCAGCTGAGCCCTAAAGAGCACCTTTAAGGGGATTCCTGGGGCTGGAGCAATAGCCCGGCAGGTATGGTGTTTACCTTGCACATGGCCGACCCAGGTTCGATTCCCAGCATCCCATATGGTCCCCTGAGCACCACCAGGAGTAATTCCTGAGTGCATGCTCCAAGAGTAACCCCTGTGCATCGCCAGGTGTAACCCAAAAGCAATAAATAAATAAAATAAGGGGGTCCTGGCACATGTACGTTTACTGCAGGGGCAGAGGAGATGATGTTCCCTGACCTTGCACTTTTTTCTTTTTTTTCTTTTTTTTTTTTTTGCTTTTTTGGGTCACACCTGGCAATGCACAGGGGTCACTCCTGGTTCTGCACTCAGGAATTACTACTGGTGGTGCTCAGGGGACCATATGGGATGCTGGGAATCGAACCTGGGTCGGCCATGTGCAAGGCAAACACCCTACCCGCTGTGCTATTGCTCTAGCCCCTGACCTCACACTTTTCTGTTGTGTTTTTCCATCTGTTTGCAGAACCTCTCCACTTGGCCACTCCAATTCAACCTGTCCTAAAAGGCCTTCTAGGCAGAAGTCAGGGTGCATGCCTCACATGTGTGCCACCAGGGTTCATCCCAACACTGGGTGTGGCCCCAGAGGTCCCAGGCCTGCTGGGTAGGTGGGGTATTCCCTATACCCATACCGCCAGGGTACTTGCACTGAACTGCTGGTTCAGCTGGCGTAGATTCGACAGTGGGGCCTTGTACCTCCTGAGGGACCCACCTCCTCCGCCTGCCCTTCAAAGAAAATGCAAATGGAAATGTCTTTAAATGTCTTAGACTCCCTCTTTCTGAAATGCAGTATCATCCCTGAATCATTCACACCTGAAACCTTACAGTCACCCAGAATGTGGAACATTTCATAAAGATTTAGGAAAGACTGGGTAATGATTTAGCTCATTCATTCATTTTTTTATACAATTTTTTTTAATTACTGGAGGATCACTGAACTCTTTTTCCCCACTTTTTGTTTTTTTAAAGTGAGTCACCATGGAGTCACCCTGAGATACACAGTTATCATGATTGGGTTTCAGTCATACAGTGTTCCAATACCCGTTCTTTCACCGGTGTACATTTCCCACCACCACTGTTTTCCCTCCACCCCTACCAGCCTTCCTCTATAGCTGACACATTTCCTCTCTCTCTCTCTCTCTCTCTCTCCATCCCCTCCTCCGTCCCTCTCCCTCTCTGCGCCCCCCCCCCTTCAATCATTCTTATATTCCTCCCTCCACTTCAGGAAGTCTGTTGCTACGGCTGATATGCTGTCTTCTACATCAGCTATCAGAATTTCATCTTCTTTGCTCCTGCTGCTCTAACTTAGTGATGCTTCAGCTACTGTTTTCATCTCCTTCAACATAAAGTCAATATGTCACTATCAAGAAAATAAGTAATCAATAACCTACGTGGCAACCACCTTCAGTTCAACCCTATTCTGACAGCAAAGATCTTTCATACTGTAGTCCCATGAAGGAATAACAGTCTTATCAGCCAAGAGTCCTGTTCTGGCAGCCTGGACTGTAGTCAAAGTCCAACCCTCAATTTTCTCCAGGTATTGCCAATGACAGGATTCTTGATCGAGCCCTGGAGTGTTCCATTAGCTGCCCCAAATGTCCTAAGATTCCTCATCCTAAATGTGGGCTCTTCTCCAACACTTCACCCAGGAAGACTGACGCTGTTTGCTGCTTTCTACTATGTGCACAGCGAGTCTTAAACAAGAAGCCTCTTGATTTGTGAGCGACTTGTCGCTGAGCCGGTTCACAGATGCTTCAAAGAATACCCCGGAGAGTGGAAAATGTAATCGAAGTTTGCAGAATGTATAATTCAACTCAAATTGTTTCCCTTCTTCTGAACAGTAGCTTTCAACCTAAACTCATTGTTGACGTAATGCCGGTTACCTTAACGCATGCATTCTAATGTACGCATGGAGACAGACTAGCGGCCACACAAAGAGATTCGGCTACTCCCATATCCTACGAGCTCTATATCAAAATAAATGAAAATGTAGTAGCAGGAGGAGGAGGAGGAGCAGCAGCAATATTGTAGCTGTAGCAGTAGTAGCAACAACAGTAATAGTACTGTAGTACTGGAATAGGAGCTGAAGAAGCAGTAGCAGTACTGTGACAGCAGTAGCAGCAATACTGTAATAGGAGCAGGAATAGTAGCAGCAGCAGCAGTAGTACTGGCATAGGAGCTAGAACATCAGTAGCAGTACTGGAACAGTTGGAGCATCAGCACGAGGAGTACTGTAAAAGGAGCAGAAGCAGTATAGTAGTACTGTAATAGGAGTAGCAGCAGTAGCAGTACTGGAATAGGGTTAGGAGCAGCAGTAGTAGTACTCCAATAGGAGCAGGAATAGGAGTAGTAGTAGTGTAACAGTAGGAGCATCAGCAATAGCAGTACCGTGACCATAGGAGCAGCAGCAGTAACACTGGGATAACAGCAGCAGTAGTACTGTAAGTAGTACTGTAACAGTATCAGGAGCAGCAGCAGTAGTACTGTGACAGCAGCAGGAGCATCAGTAGTAGTTAATAGCGGGAGCAGTGGAAATTGTACTAAAATAGTAGTAGCAGCAGCAGTACTGTATAGCAGCAGCAGTGGAAGTGGTACTAAAATAGTAGCAACAAGCAGCAGTGGGAGTACTATATAGCAGCAGCAGCAGTAGTAGTACCATAATAGTAGCAGCAGTAGCAGTAGTAGTACAGTAGTAGCAGCAGTAGAATAGTTGCAGTACAAGCAGCAGTGGTATATGTACAGTAGTGGTAGCAGTAGTAGTAGTAGTAGTAGTAGTAGTGGTGGTGGTGGTGGTGGTGGTGGTGGTAGTTAGTAGTGATAATAGTAGCATCAGCAACAACTTAATAGCAGCAGTATTTTCTGAATGCATATTAAAATATCAGCCATTGTTCTAAAAGATTTACATTTATTAAGACTCTTTTAACCCTCACAAGAACCCTACCGATTATTTACGATTGTTATCCTCATAAGATATTTTGCCCGATGTTATTCATTATTAGCTCCCAGTCCTCTGGTGACAGCACTGCCATGCCTGCCTACTCTTCCGGTTCATCAGGAAAGAGATGAGGAGAATATATTGAAGTAGCCAAGCATGCAAAGTGATACACAAGAAGAGGATTATAGCTTAAAAAAAAAGAGGCCTAGAATGATATTTTGTATTGTACACAGATAAAGTTCTTTTGAATAATACAAAGCACAATTATATACTCTATAAATACTTCTGTTCTGTCCACCTTTCAAATGTGACTTACATTTAGGGCTCTAAGAGAATTGTTTTTGCACTTGTTTTATATCTGTCTCCCCAAATTAAATGGAAATACAACTCATGACCAAAGCTGCTATATTGATGGCATGCTCTCTCCCTCTCTCTCTCTCTCCCTCTCTCTTCCTCTCTCTCCTGCAGTGCTGCTAGACACATAATAAGGACTCAAATATTGAGAAGATGAATGAGTTACTAGAAGGGAGATGAAAGGGCAATGAGGGAAAGGGAAGAAGGCATGCCTGAGGTGCTTGCTGACATCTGGATTTCAATAAACGCTCAATGCCGTCTCTGCCACATAGTGACAAGACCGGTTCACTAAAAAGAGCAACTTAACCACCAAGAACATGACACTGATGTACAGACTCACGCAACATCAGCAATGAAATTCTGCTTGTGCTTCCCAGCTACTCTGTTGCATCCTTTCTGCCCAACTTCCTCAAATTGGTCCCCCTGCGGTACAATAAAAAGTCAGGCAACACAGTAAAGCACAGGTAACAAGCTTGGCGATGAGCTCAACTTGTAATCCTTTCATGATTATTCCCCCGCTCTCTGGAGTCCTTCCTAACTGAGCATGCAGCATCCGAGGATGATGGCTAAGGGCTTACCTCATTTCTGAACTAGTCCAATCAACTGACCATCAGTCACTACAAGTGGTAGTAGAATTCAGTGATTTAGTTTGGACCGTGAATACAACTGGGAAGCACAAAAACCTGTTGGCACCACTTGCTCCTTCATTCACATTCGCATGCCCATAAGCCTGACCAAAAAAGTTCGGAAAATGTAAAGTCCCAAGCATCAGAACCCGGCGACAGCTAACACGCGCAAACACAGAAAATCCACCCCTTTTCCTTCTAGCCATCTCCTGGCCTTGACAGATAAAAGTCCCTTAAAACATCGCTAACTACCAACACCTGCCAATGGCATTTACCTCTTCCCAGAAACACAACTCCAAAGAAGCAAAATACACTTATTTCATGCTGTGAAAAAAATGCCCTCAAACTAGCCAACACAACTCAAAGCTTCAAAAGCAAGCAAATAGAGGCGAAAGTCAAGCTAGATGGAAACAATTTTCCTATCAAAGACTCTCCCAATGCTCTATGATAAATTGCCCATTCAACCACTTCTGTCACATCCAGTTAAGCTGGATCACTTTTTTATTTACACTTACCTCTGCCACTCGGTGGGTGGAACTAAACCGAGGTGGTAAACCAGCCAAGACACAGTGTTGGTGGGTAGCATTGAGATCATCTGCAGGAAAAATAACCAAGACTTAAAACACAAACTCACATACTTGTTAGCCACTCTACACTATTTAAGTCGAATGCAAAGTAAACAGCACGCCCATAATCCAAACAGAATGTCAATAACCAAGGAATTAACACTTTCCTTAAGGAATTCCTAAGCAATTCTTTACGACTCTCCAATTATATTTTATGATAATTTGTATTATATATATAAAATTATCAAAACCATGATGCTTTCAAGAAAGGAGATGTTATTAATAATTATTCCAAGGTGACATGTATAAGCAAGGACTGTCCTTACCAAGTACAAAGTATGGTTAGGCTACTCGTACTCGTGTGTGGTCTCATGACACACGCTCACCACAAAAGTTTACTATTTCTAGATAGTTCTTTCTCTTTCTCATGATATGCTAAATTCTACCCGTGCCTATAAAACAAGCCAAAATTCTTTTTATATAACTTGGGGTTGAACATCTTTCATCTGAAAATCTGCATGTTTCTCTCCCCAACATATCAATTTTGCCCCTAAAAGTTTTCTGGGCAACAAACCAACTAACTCAGCATATTGCAAAGGTTTGGCTCTCACATCAGAATTATGGATTCATAACCCAAGAATAGAGTAGGTGGTGAATTCATCAGTGGAAGAACAAGCTTAAAACCTTTCTTTTAAGTGGAAGAAAGATGAATGGCCAAGTTACTACATAGCTGAAGAAATTAATGCCATGCATCAGGCAAGATCTGCATCACCTGTGCATGGATGTCACTACTCCTATTATGAAGAAGAGAATTCAATCGACTGTTGCCCAGCAATACATGGTTTCCTAAATAGGTAACATCATTTCCTTAACAAGATACACACACACACAAAAGATAATGACTTAAATGTTGAGAGAAAAGGGACATATCTTCTATAAAAGTCACTGAAAATAACATGCAATACCTTATTTTACTGCATTCACTTTACCATATATCATAGATCCTGTTTTTTTCCCAACTGAAGGCTGTGGCATCCTTACATGTAAGAAGTCTATAACAACTTGCTTCCCCACAGTTTGTGCTCATTTCACATCACTATGTCATATTTCATTAAGGTATGTACATTGTTCTGAAAACTAATATTTCACACTTAGTAGGATATAATGTAGTAAACTTCATACGCACTGGGAAAAAAATTCACCCGACTCATTTTATCACTTACTTGATTGTAGTGGTCTGGATCTGAACATGTATTATCTCTGAAATATGTCTCTTTTACCTCCAAATAGAGGAAAAGATGTGCCAAATATTAGCTGAAGGACTCCGGGCATGACAGAGTAACAGTGATGGGTTTATCCTCTGACATGAAGCATAAAAACTGAACAAAGTAAGAAACAATGATTCCTGATGCTAGAAAACAAAATTACAGTTTGCTATCAAAGACAAGAAAAATAAATTGAGCCCTGCTCTAGTGGACTACCTAACAAGAATTTCAGTGCCACAAAATAGGGAAGGAGAAGGCGGAAGCCCAAGTTTTCAGTTTTCTCTCTTGCTGAGGTGAAGGAAGATTGGAGTTTAGGAAATGCAAGAAAACAAGGATCCCTGAGGCGAAATACTGGAAGGGAAAATATCCTACACGAAGAGAAAGCAACCAGATATCTGCAGAAGAATGCCTTCAAGTCTGTGGCTGAGCACTGGCCTGTGCCATGTGAACTTCCTATGGGTACAGAAGCACAAGAGAGAAGAGGCCTGAACAAACTTCAGACCTCACACAGAACACCAAGCAGCCAATATAGCTCCCTTCACAAGAAATAATACATTTTTAGAAAAGAAATAGCTTAGGAATAGGGCCAAATTAATCCCTCATCATCAACTATTCTAGAGTTACCTAAACACAAATCGCAAAAGGATATAACTTATTTATAGTAATTTACTCAGAGCAAAGATCAATGCTATTTTTTTTAATAAGAAAACTGGGAATGGAATGATAGTACAGCAGCTAGTGTGCTTGCCTTACATGCAGCCAACCTAGGTTCAATTCCTTGCACCCCATATGGTCTTTGGAACCTGCCAGGACGATCCCTGAGCACAAAAGCAGGAGTAAGCCCTAAACACCACTGCATGTGGCCCAAAAACAAAAGTCTATGTACCTACCATAGACAATAAATCATTGCAAATACTAGGCATGGTATAATAAAATAAAATAATACTATGAACAGCAGGAGGCTCACAAATGTGATGACCTAAATCAAATAAGCCAATTCCTTCGAAGATACAATCTGTCAAAATGCATCAGTTCCAGAGGGTTCACAAGGGAATACTACCAAATACTTAAGGAAAACAATTACACCAATTCTTATCATATCTTCCAGAAGACAGAGTTGGAAAGAATACTTCCCAACTTACACTATATAGGGTCAGCAATACCTTAATACTCAAGTCAAAGACATTGTAAGAAAACTACACAAAGCCAAAGATAGTGAAGAAAACAACACCCAACGAAACACTAAGAGGCTTTACAGAACTTGAAAGAGAGCAGAGTAGGCAAGGTATTAGATCCTGAACTCAGCTGGGTTCTATCCCCAGTACCCCAGATGATTCTCTGAGCATCACCAGCAGTGATCCCGGAGCACAGAACCAAGAGTCAGCCCTGAGCACTGCCAGGTGTAAATCTCATTCTCTCCCCCAAAAAGTTTTTACACATTATGACCAAAGAGAATTTATTTTATGAAAGAACTGTGATTTACAAAGTTACTGATAGTTGAGTTCTAGGCATATAATATTTCGACACCAATCCCACCATCAGTGTCCACTTCCTTCCACTGATATTCTCACACCCTACCCCACCCCGACCACAACTCCAGACCCACTTCCACCTGTCAACTTGATAGGCACATTACAGAGTTTCAGTGGTTGCAGCTTAGATTGCATGTTTTCATTTTTTTGAGTCTGTATTTTGGATATATGGCTATACTACTTATCCACATCACCAATTTAACAAATGACCAGTTTAACTAATGACCTGGTAGATTTTATACCAGGTATGGAAGGTTGGTTCAACACTGCAAAATCCATTACATCAATAGACAAAAATGAAGAATTACATGATCATAGAAAAAGATACACACACACACACACACACACACACACATATATAGGTAAAGGTAAAGGTAAAGGCCCTCCCGTTGATCATCGATTTGCTCAAGCGGGCCCAGTAACGTCTCCATTGGAGACTTTGTTGTTACTGTGTCTGGCATATCCAATACGTCACAGGGAGCTTGCCAGGCTCTGCCCCGCGGGCGAGATACTCTCGGTAGCTTGCCGGGCTCTCCAAGAGGGGTGGAGGAATCGAACTCGGGTCGGCCATGTTGGCTGCGTGCAAGGCAAACGCCCTACTGCTGTGCTATATATATATATATATATATATATATATATATATATATATATATATATATATATCTGGCTAAATCCAATACAAATTCGGGATAAAAACCCTTCATAAGGAACAGAGGGGCACTCCCTCAACATGAGAGCAAGATAAAGACCATCTACCCCCAAAAAACTACAACAAACATCACAACTGATGGTATGAAATGCAAATGGTTCCCACTAAGATCAAAAACAAGATAAGAATGTCTCTTCTCACTACTCCTTTGTGTGTGTGTGTGTGTGTGTGTGTGTGTGTGTGTCTTTAGTTTTGGGGTCACACCAGGAGACTGGTGTGAAGTGTGGGGAAGGACCATCTCAAGACTACTTGCTGGGGTTTTTACCAAGACAATGGCTGAAGATGAGGCCATCTCAAAACGCTGATGCGCTGTGTGGACGGTAGTGCAAGATACAATGAAAGCTAAGAAAGGCTTCAAGATTGATACAGCCAGAGACCAAAACACAATATGAAGAGAGCAAGAAAGTCTTAAATAAAGGAGATCAAAGACTCAGAAGTGTGCTGTGACATGGAGGAAGAGAAACTGAAAGAGAACTCTCGCTCCCAGTTTGCCTTTTCTGAGATTCTGGTCATGGGAGCATCTGAGAGAGAGTTTTTGGTTGATCCAGACTATTTTTGCTTCAAGCAGGTGTCAAAGCCTGGGTGGCAGTGCACATGCGTAGCATATACTAGGTCCTGAATTCAATCCCTGGGAACATATGGCCTCGTGGAGAATAAAGCACCACCAGTGCCACCCAAGTGGCCCCTGTAAGAACAAAGAAAAGGACAGGAAGGAAGTTCCCCAGGTCAGATTCCCATACAGACTTGAAAGCGTTTCTAAGAAATACATAAATGCCATTCTCACTACCACAGTAAAAGCCTGATTGCTCCCCTGCTATCACTAAGAGAGGCAGAGGGGATCAAGTTAATGAAGAGATTTGTTAAGTGCTTTTGTTCTGCTGAGAAGTGACTTTCCAAGAAGGGTCAGTTGGCAAGTGCAACAATAAAAGTAATACTTTGAGACTCGCACATTTATTGAAATCCTTGGCAACTCTCAAATCAAACAACTCTCTTGAAATGGCTCCCAACTATCTCTAATCCTTTCTTAATTTTTTTAGAAAAGACCCTGTAATTTTCCCGTAAGAGCTTCACGTGTATCTCAAAACGGTAAGTCCGTGAAAAGTAGCGGGAGCTTCACGGACTGTATATCTTCAAAAACTATCCTCATGACATTTCCAGCCTGAAAAGACTATTCCCTAATAATGTATTGAAAGAAAATATCAGGGAATATTTATTTGCCTCATCTCTCTTAGGAAGAGAGCTGGAAACTGACTTGGTATTCAAGTGGAATCAGAGTTTATAGAATTTATTCAACAAAACAAATAATAATAATAAAAAAAAAAAGAAGGCCTCACTCTTTGCTGGCTAAATTCTCTGTACTCTATCACCGGGTGAAGAGAGCGTGAGGCATTCATTGTAGCGTGAAATCTCATCTCATGTATAGAAAAACACACACACCCACACACAGAGGCAAAGGCATAATTTATGGCAGGGTGACCAATTCAGGCCCAGGACTCTCCAGATTTTAAAACTTAGTCCATATC